ATATATCCAATAGAGCGACAAGTATCCTTAAATTTTAAAAATGTTGTTCGCTTCCCTGCCTATTTGAAGTGTTTTAACACATTTGAGTTCTTTTAAGCAAAAATTAGATGCAATTCTAGTCTCAGAATTCCCAGGCGTGCAGAAAGTGCTCAATTAAGCGCCCAGGGGGCGCTTGAAAATGTGGAGGGGCACTTCAAAATATGGAAGATGGGACATTTTTTGGGAGACAAAAGTAAAAAAAAAAATAAAGAAAAACAATAGTGTATTTTCTTCGGAAAATACACTAAAAAGGAGAAAAAGACTTTTTGGAAATCGGAAGGACATTCCGTGAAAATTCGATGAGAAAAATGTGGAAAACACTGAAAACGTAGAAGCTCGAGAGATTCTAGACCCCTGAATTTCCCCATTCCAGTAAGAGGTCAAAAAAGTGCGTTGAGCCGAAAAATTTGAAACGCAGCCCGATTTTCCAATTTATTCTCTCTTATTTTGTGTTGAGGTGGATCTTCGAAACGATTCAATGGTCGAACGATAAATTGAAACATTCGAAGAAAAATATTCGCAAGTTTTCCCGAGGATTCGTGATTTACCAGGGAAAATTTGGCAACGCCTGAGGGTTCATACGATGTTCTTCCTTCGCACGGCAGAACTATGCCCTGGTAAAAATAAACTTGAAAATACTCCTTATTCGGAGAGTACTCGCACCCCTGCCCGAAAACAATCCCATTCCCTCGTCCTCCCACACGAACTAATCGAGGTCCCAAGTCCAAGGAGCAAAAGGCGTCCCGAAACCCCATTCAATTACTGACCTCAACCAACCGTAACGAGGAGCACAGACAGGTTCGCCCTTTCCCGGACGAGGGAACCTAACTCCATTCCAAGGTTGCAAAATCGACTCAAACAATACAATTCCTTCACAAGAACGTACATGCGTGGTTCCCGTTGAAAATTTGTCCGATTTTTACACGAGATCGGAGGAAAAATCAGTGAAATTTTCAACTGGAAATTCCCAAAACTCTCCTGGTTAAAGTGCAATCTGCCCGGGGAGATTTGGCAACATTGAGATTGAGTTACGTCTTTTCGTGAGAAACGACGAACTGAGCCGTGACGTCACTGTGGGAATTCTCCGATCCGTTGAAACAGACATCACGATGGTCAAGGTCGAATTGGTTCATGTGTTCGGTTTGGTTCCTTCTGCTGAATTCAGAACCAGACTGACTGGTATCTGTGACACCAACCTGAAATTCCTCGGGGACAACCACAGCTCAATTTGGTTGAGTAGGAAAAGTCCTGCGGTCTGATTGTTGAAATTGATAGACAAAGCTAGGTATTGAAAAAGAAGACAAAGGAAGAATGGAGTGGTCTTACTGGTTGAAATGGGTTCCTGCGGACTAAGGGAGAAAATTATGGACAAACTGTTGGGTCTTTCGTGGATTGCCGTTAGTTCGTCTATTACCTACCTTCTTTGTCCATTGCAACCACCCGCTTCTACCAATTGGATCCCACAAAATCATTTTTGCCTTTCTTTGTCTATCGCTTTGTCTACCAATTTCAAAAATCAGCCTGCAGCACCGGATAAAAACTGTTTCCACGATACAAATTGGACATGGATGCTGTTTTTGTAGTGTTGCCGATAGAAACAGAGGAGCATCTCTTCTCTCATCGACATGAATCGCAAAAAGAATATCCAAAGACAAACATTCGATACGCTCATCGCAATTTGTGTTGATCTAAATAGAGAGCTGTCTATCTATTCGTCGCTCACCTTCGACGTAAGAACGTATCTTCATTTTCACGCGAGCCCCATTTTACGTGTATAATAATTCATGCATTCTGAGGCTAGCGCAAAAGCGCATGAACGAGCTGATAATAAGACTGATTGTCAATCATTTCACTTCAGGACTTATAAACTTGCAATTCGAGGGCTTTCAATTCCGGATCTGCTTTTGTTTGCTCGAACGTTCCTACTGCTAATATTTCTTTTTCCCTTTTTAATGAAAGGATACAAATAGACTTTAAAAAAAAGATATCATTACCATGAGCTTTCTGACCCCCTAAATTTTCATTTTTTGTCCCAGTTCGTTCTACCATTCAACTGGACTGATTCCGATGCTTTTCGCGGCTATTAACAGGCGATAGTCCCCAGATGAGCTCGCTCAGCTGATCAGATTTTGAAAATATGACATAGGCTTTGTTATTACGTGATAGAGTTGCGAATTATCTCATTGAACCGATTTAAATTTGATTTTTTGTTACTGATCGTCCTAAAGATCCACGGTGCCGATTTTCATGATTATGGCGGCTATTGATAGGATACGGTTTCTAATGAGCCCACTCCAATTAAATTAATCCCAGAGGGATCCGCGAGGCGGGCCTCAGAAGAGGGCACGAAGCTCATCTCATCTAGGGAAAATCATGGCAGATTTTACAATGTTGACATTGGCTTATACCCGCATGAAATAGGCAGTGGAAAACTTGCAACGTCACGAATTGAGGTATATGGATATTTTTACCTCACCCTCGGTGATGAGAAAACGTGTCACTTTGAACACACTAGGGTGTAATTTCAATGGTAATTGTCATATCTTCCGCCATCACGTCGAAGCGATACGGTTGAAGGCGCTCTGAGCAACTATTCCACCATGGAAGTATTGCACAGTATCAGACGAAAATGAAGGCGCACGGCCTTGAGTAAATTGACAGGTCATTTACCACTGTGTGAAGTCCTACAGATCCTATGATATGTGCAGCTCCTGCTTGATCGATTTTTGTAAAACTTGTTACCAAGTGGCATTTTTTGATGGAAAGCTTGAATTTCAATCGTTATAGTATGAGATTTGTGTGAGAGTCCTTACTTACTGGATCTCACCTCCGATTATTATCAGTTTTTAATATTTGATTTGATAAAAGAAAACAAGATTACTGCTTTTATGAAGGTTAAATGAGCCAGTCGAGCTTCAATCTTGCCAAAAAAGTTAAGAGCCAGTTTTGCCAGTCAGGTAAATATTTGAAGGCAGTTTTTTTTTTAACACAAACATGTTTTTTTCTTAATCAATTTATGATGATTGTTGGATACCTTTTTGGCACTTTAAATCAGACTTTTTCTAACTGATTATACATTTTCATAACTTTTCTTTACCCAATAGAATCCATTCTAAGGGGCTCCCAATAGATTTCAGTTTTAATGTGAACCAGAAATATTACCTATCTAAGTTCCAGCGTTTTCATAGGCAGCTGACCACAAATATTAAGGCGCCAACTGTGGCTAAGACTTCAATTATTCGGGCGCAAACTTTGACCCTGACTTCACTTAGGTATTTGGACACCAGTAAGGAAGGTTGAGGCACATTTTGCGCATGATGCCTTTTGAATTTGAATACAAAAATGAGCACTGTACCTATCGTTTCTTAACTTTCTCCTAAAGCATTCAATATTTTTTTACAAAACCTTTTGTAATTTCTGATCTCCACTGAGTAAGTCTCAGGACTATAGTGATGATCCAAATTCTCTTATTTCTTTCAGGGGAAATATTCACAGATCGGAGCACAACAGAACAGCCAGGAAAATCTTCATTGGAATCAGGAATTGATAGGTTGACAAAAACATATGATGTACTTTTACCGTCATCCTTACTGCGCTGTGAAAAATTAGGTAAATATGAAGGGTAAAAGAGTGCTGGTTCCAAAATATTATTCGGGGTAAATAGAGCCAAAAATTAAAATTAGAGATTGAAAATATGACTTGTATGTTTCATTAAGAAATTAGGGGAGGGAGAGCATTTAGACCAGGCATTCGTATCATCCCCCATCATTTACCTGAGCTGAGCGCTCTCTTGTTTCAGTTTTGCGCTGAGGTTAATTTATGTTTTAATCTCTAATTTAAATTTTTTTTTCTTTTTCCGTTGTTTTCTCTCTGTACTAATTAAATTAGATGTGAAAGAGGACGGTAGATTGCGAACTGTTGCTGCCGTCAATTGGGTAGACTCGTCTTACAAGTTAGAACTTCTGATCTTGATTTTTGTATTGAGTATCAACTTTCTGGCATTAGTTACTACTTATGATACGACATAAAATTACAAAAAATGGTCCTCATAGCTTACTTTTCATCATCTAACACCAGTGAAAAAAAAGAGAGTTTTGGCACTTGAAACCAATTGAAGCAATGACATCAACCTCATAGGCAAGTGTTGTCAAAGTGCTCATTGGCACTTAATCTGAACTGGTTCCAAATCCTTATCATCTTTGACATCTGTGCATGAAATTTAAGCAAGTAAAGACAGGCAATTGTCAACATGCTTATAAAAGTAAAGCAATCCTGCTTGGCAGCTATCAGGATCTATTTTGGTATTTTTAGAGAATTCTGAGATGGTATTTTCAGGGGTGTAGAAACTTCCCGACCACGCGACCGGCTGTTCGCGTGAAATGGGGGAACCCATGTGAGGACAAAAAATTGGGGGAACCTTAGGAGGTTTGTTTGTTTGTTTGTTTTTTTTTTTTTAAGGGTTTGGGTGAGCTTGACTGTTGAGTGCGCTACTTTGAGGGAACCTAACTGTCAAGCATGCTGTTTTTGGGGGAACAAAACATTCAAGCACGCTGTTTTGGGGGAACCAAACTGTCGACCGCGTTACTTACTTAATGCGTAGGGCAAAATTCTGCGGAAACTTAAAACGGGGGAACCTAAATTTATTTTGGGAGAGCCCTTGGAAGATTCTGCACCCCTGCGTATTTTATGGACTGTATTAGAACAGACACAAATTAATTGTGATCTTGACAGCACCTCAAAATCGATGGGTAGCGTAAACAAACTATCACAATTATGTGAAGGAGTGACGAATCTTTATGCTGGACAAAAATATGAAAAAGGTACAGACCCGAACACAAGAGCACATTCAGAACCAAGAGATAAAATCACGAAGACCTTCAGAGAATCTTGACAGGAAAAAATTATGAAGTAACACAACTGTGAGATTCCAAGTGATTAACCTTAAAAATCCACCCACTTACCAAAGAATTTGTGCTCTCCTAGAACTTGGCCTGGATTGATTCGTGAATGAAAGAACGGTTGACACTAGTCGCGATAGGTCCTCGTAATTCGGGAAAATTCACATAAACTCAATCACAATCCGAGTAAGAAAAACCATTTACATTATCACTATTCCGCACTGTCTGCACCAAGAAACTGAGAACATACTCCAAGATTCAACGACTGAAAAAACACGGAGGCTCTTCAAAAGCTGGACTACGGTGATACGAAGTAACCAATATGTAGTACGATGATAAAAAAATTGATTTGAAACGATAGATAAAAGATATCAGATAGTTTACACTTGAATCAAACTCAGACGAGCAGTCAACACGAACACAAACGCCGAGCTATCACTACTTACTACTCAGATTCTACTGTGTTGTCGTGTTGTGGTAGTAGTGGAGGAGGAGCTGTCAAGATGGAAACATGGGATAGTTCTGCGCGCACTCCAGTGTTGCCTGGTTGAATTTTTTTCTTTCATTAAGTAAACATCTAATATTAGATGAGAGCGTTACGAACAGCTGGCAAATATGCATAATAAAGTTACGTATCCTGCTGCTCTGCTTGCTGCGGTGTTTCACGGCGCAACTCGGAGAGAAACACAAGTTTACATAGCTGCCGTTTCATGCTCGTATTGTCATTCTTTTAGGTTCTCTCCAGGGATTTTGAAAATTCAAAATAATATTTTCTCACATTTCAGATTGACTAGGAAAAAATAGGATAAGACTAGCGTCAATTTTCATTTTTTTTTTACTTTTTTTGCTTTAATTTTTTTTTTTTTTTTTTTCACTTATAATTGAAATAGAATTAATCTTCTGCAAGAAAATTTGTATGAAAATAACTGGATGATCTGCCCCCTGGAAATTACCAAGAGGTGTTTACAACTTGCCGCTAAATGACTGTAACAAAGCTTGTTAGGGAATTTTTAAAGGGAGAGTTGGTTAAAGGCATGGCGAATTTTGAAATGCGCGCTCCTCACAAAATACAACGATTTGGCAACGGGGTTGCTCTCATTTGATCGATGGATGATGCTCTCCGTAGTGTTTTATTTACCTTTTTGTTATCATTTTACCCTCATTATCAGAGGTTGCGAAATAAAAATGAAATAAAAGATCTACGATACCGTTAACTTTCGTCTTTTACTTGTGCACACGCTGCAGACGCCGCAGCTGAGTGATAAGCTTTTAACTTTTCAATTATAATCCCCGATACATAGAAAAAACTTGATAATCACCCAGTTTTATCCTCTGCCACCTCCAGTATCAGTTCACAGCACAGCAGTAGATAATCAGTCAGTTGCTGTCACTCTGTGTCAGTTCACTGTCGCCGAGTAGAACTTTCGCTTTTTAGGTCATTGCTCTTCAGTGCACTTTATATCGTAAGTATCTTGTCATAAATTGATCTCTTCCTGGTTATTATCACAAATTCACCTCACTCCGATGGAATATTTATGCTTAATGATGTAAATGTTTTTCTCACTTTGATTTTCAATGCATTCCACACCCACTTCCCCAAGATATCTCCACAAATACCGAGTATGTACCATTGTTAATTGGTACCCAATAATTTAACAGCAAGTTTAAATTTTCTACAGATTTCGTAGTTTTTGCCATCTGAGAGTATGTGCGCAGACCATAAAACCCTGACCAGATGTATAGTAGTCTCCAAATTATACTTTTCACTGAAATTGAAGCTCAGATCAATCCTTGCAACAATATCTCCTGAACACTAACAGTAAATACCCGATCAATTTTGACCTGCATTGTCGCCGTTTTTTTTTACTTATAATTTGATCCATTTTGTAATTCTTTCAGTTTTCAATAGAAGATGCGGCTCATTATTTTGGATGATGTTGACAGAGTTGCAGAATGGTCAGCGAAATATGTTCTCAAGCGAATCAATGATTTTAAACCCGGTCCAGATCGTTACTTTGTATTAGGGTTACCCACAGGTCAGTTCACCGATCATTAATCTTGAAAGGGAGTCCTCAGGGAATCAGCGCCTCTTTCAACATTGTTGCAACCACAACATTTTGAGGAGACTGAATTTCTGTTAGAAAATTTAAAATGTATGATTCCTGGACTAAACTGCCCATCGAAAGTTTAAAATAATGATTCAGAAGATTTAGTAACATCATAAAAAAAATTGATAGCCGATTAACTTTGGGTCCAAAAAATCTGTTTTAGTGAGGGGAAACAACATTATTCTCAGATTTTTTTTCTCTCTCCCCCCCCCCCCCGTCTGTTTTTTTTCTCTCTCTCCCCCTCTGTCCCCCCCTCCCCTTATTTGCTGCTGTAAGACAAGAAATGCAATATTGATTCCTTAAGGTCATAGAGAAAAAAAAGGAGGTGTTTGCATTTCGGGCATCTTGGAATTTTTCATAGAGTATCTATAGCTTTGATGACGTCATTGGGTACAGCGACGTTTTTATCCTGTCGATTTTCTTGGAAATGGTGTAATTTAAGGGAAAAATTCATTCTATAAAAAGTGCTTGAAATTAAATAAAGAGTTGATTTAAGTAAAAAAATCGGACATTATGGTCCGTTTTTACAGCGTCAACATAACCCTCAACGAGCGTCTTGTTTACATTGATGACGTAGGTGGGTACACATCCTCAAGATGCAAACACCTCCTTTTTTTTCTCTATGCCTTAAGGTTAATCAAGTAGATAAGTCAAGGAGCGACGAGTCTCCCCAAGAAAAGGGACTCTTTTGTCTCAGTTTATGGGAACCTGAAAAGTTCATTAATAGCCCAGCAAGTGGCAAAAATAAAACCTTTAGATGACAGAAACCTATTATGAAGTTTTTAGCTCATGGTTAAAAGGTAATTAAGGTGTTAAATTTGTGTCGATTATACCTTGTACAGCTTCAAAATTAAATGCTGACATATTTGACAGTAACGTAAATTATTCACTATTGTGAGGTAGCTTTGAACTCAAGTTAGAAAGTCTAACAGGGAATTTTCTCCTTAACAGTATTTAAATTTTGAAGCGTCCTCTGCCGAAAGTAAACAGTAAAGTAGGTAACTTACTTTCTTACAATGTTTAATTTTAGCTATATGTTGATGGAATTCTCGGATTTCTAAAGCAAAGAGGCAACATTTATGGAGGCCTTCTACTTACCTGACAGAACATGTTTTATACCTGAGGGGCACATTGCAGGCGTGCAGAAAATGCTTGATCAGAAGTCCAAGCGGGCGTGTGAAAATTTTGAAAGGCTCTTAAAACTGTAAAGGGAGGTGGCAATTTCAATGGGTCGAATGTCCAAAATCAGCATAGAGTAGTTTCTCATTTAAAAATTAAAGTATGACAGGAGGTCTACAACTTCGCAAACCACGATATGTGGTCTGGTAGTTTCACGGTCGACATAACTTTGATCAGAGGCTGTGAACTGCTGAGACGCAACACACAAACAAATTAGTTTTCAGGGCTGTACAACACTACAACTAATATGACAAGTATGTTAATAATCATCTTCAAAAATGTTGTTTCTGTATGTATTAATCTGAAAAACACCTCTTTTGTATCCATTCTATTGGCCTCAAGCTTATCAATTTCAAATCAGAAGATTTTAATGGCTTGGTGTCAGAGGCTTATTCAAGACAATTTTTTTTTAATGTTCAATATATTACGTTTTCAGGTGGAACACCCTTAGGCATGTACAAGAAGTTGATCGAATTCCATAAGGCAGGAAAACTTTCATTCAAATATGTTAAAACTTTCAACATGGATGAGTATGTCGGTAAGTTGTCTTTTTTTTCCTTTTGAGGAAAAGTACCTCGAGTTTTGCATTAATTTCAAAATTGCCCTAATGAAATGGCTGGATTAATGTTGTTGGATTATTATTGTTTGTTATTTTATGAACCAATTGTTTTGTTGTCAAGAGAAAGCTCCTCCTGTCCAATATTCTAACATCAGTGGTTTAATAAGGAATATGATGTATACCTCAAAATGATCACTGAGAACAGGCATACAAAGTTGACAGGACTTGCTGAATATAATTGAATTTTCAAAGATAATTCCCTTTATCCTCTGTAAATGAAAAAACTCTCTGGAAAAATCTATCTCCGCCATTTTTCCGTGTCTCTCAGGATCTCATTTTTACTTTCTCGCTCCCCTAGGTTTTTTTTCAAGACTGAAAAGTCAGTGTAAATCCTCCTTTAATTACCTATGTATTTAAAAAAGCATGGATAAAGACCAGTGCTTTGTGACAATTATCAGTAATTGTTTGGATGCAATTTATGTAATAGCTCTACCAATTGATTTTATCCCACCCAGTCACCAAATTGTTAGAGAATTTTCTCGTAATGTCATCTCTCAGTTTAACTCAAGGTATGGGGAAATCTGGCATTGTCACTTGCTTCTTACAAATTTTTCAGATAAATAATTATAGGAGATAAGACGGTGATTTAAATGTATATAACGGAGCTCTCTAAGTTCAAGATTCAAAGTTCAAATGGACCTTTATTGTTCTACCCATGGTACTTTTTTATTCTAGCAGATTCTTGTGTGGTGAATTTTACATTTATGAAGATGAAATTACATTATTTCAAGAAACTCTTTTTGATACCACAAGTAACAAAAATGTTGGTATTTCCCAGGATTACCTCAAGATCACCCAGAGAGCTACCACTACTACATGTTCTATAACTTCTTGCAGCATATTGACGTAGAACCTGAAAATGCTCATATCTTAGATGGAAATGCTCCAGATTTGCAGAAAGAGTGTGAAGAATATGAACGGAAAATCCAAGAAGCTGGGGGCGTGCATCTCTTCATAGGGGGTAATTCTAAATTTGATTAATAAGACCCATATTTTACTAAAAATGTAATTAAGAATTAGAAAAAATCAATAGAATGTGACTCCTAAAATAGTGTTCTTTCTTTATACTTAGATTTGAATCAACAGAATCATATTGCATGCAAGCCATTTTTTTAATTAGTCTTTCAAATGAAAACAAGTATCAAATTTTGCAAAACGAGGAATAATTTTGTTCGACACAGGGCACATAAGTATCACTCTAAATAGTTTTCCATTTTGGACTTTCCTTATCCCTTCAGAATGTATAATTATGTTCCTCAAACCTGGCTTATGCGAATCAAGCAATTTCATGTGAAAACACATCAATAGAATGTGACTCCAAAAATAATTTTCTTACTTTATACTTATTGTTAGATTTGAATTAACAGAAACAGACTCAATGCGTGAAAGCCCTTTTTCGAATTAGTATTCCAAATGTAGTGAAAATAATTTCTACCAGAGTAAATGCTGAAGATTATGTTGCATTTGTATTACATTTTGTATAAACGATGTTCTAGGCCTAGATTAGGTCCAGTGGTAGACTTAAGTCTTGAATTTAACATTTCCGAAAAGAGGCCCCCAAATTTTCAATTTTATATCTTTGAGGGAATGCAAATTGCCCGAAAATGTTACATATCAAAATTAAGTCGGCAAAAGGTTCCTGAAAAAGTTGTAGAAACGTTATGAATAATTTTAGCTGTGGTCATGAGTAACGTTATAGCATCCTTATTACAACTTTTTTGGCACCCATTTGCCAGGCGAAAATAAGATTTTAATTCAATGGTATCAGCTTGTTATAGTTTTAATTCAAGTCCCCCTCTCTTTTGGCAGGAATTGGACCGGATGGACACATAGCATTTAATGAGCCTGGATCATCTTTAGTCTCTCGCACAAGAGTGAAAACCTTGGCGTATGAGACGTTAGAAGCAAATGCCAGGTTCTTTGGTAACGACATCACAAAAGTGCCTCAAGAAGCATTGACTGTAGGAGTTGGCACCGTAATGGATGCCAAAGAGGTTGGTTTCCATTTAAACAGAAGATTATTTAGCTGGATCAGTTGGTCTGTTACAATCCATATCTAATTTTGAAAGTCGAACCCTATCGCTACAAAAAAATAATAAACTCTGTCCCAATGCCAAGTTTCTATGGTTAATATTGATGAAAATGTCCGCTTTTAAAAGATGATCTGTTTGACATGTTTGTCTAAATATCTTTCTAACTCGCTAAAACTAAAAAATGAATGAGAACAAAAATATATACAAATTATAACTGTGTGAAGATTATGCGATGAAGTATCCTGAGAATTCCTTGAAATATTTTGCTTTAACCTTTTGCTTGCAGTGTAAAATGATACAGAAAATCGAGTCACATAGAACTTTACGCCAGGCATATTGCAAGTAACGAAATATTTTTATTCTTACCGCGATCAACTGGCCTCATAAATTTTTTAGGTTTCAAAAATTTGTCAACTTCTTAGATTTTCCTACAATTTTCAGTTGAAGTCTCTTGCAAAAAATTCCATTTACCATCCATAGTTTTGAAGAAAAATTCCCCGGAGCCTTCCTCGGGATTGTGTAATCAGACATAATATAATCCCTTGGAAGATTTTAGTAGGTTATTACATAAATATTGACCACCACAGTTTTCCTTATTTCCAGGTCATGATACTGATCACAGGTTCGCACAAAGCTTATGCTTTATACAAAGCGATTGAAGAAGGTGTGAATCACATGTGGACTGTATCAGCGTTCCAACAACACCCGCACACAATCATTGTATGTGACGAGGATGCAACAAACGAACTTCGAGTTAAGACTGTCAAGTATTTTAAGGTAATTCTTTTGCCCATCTACTTTATTAAAACTTTTTTTTTTTTAAAAAAGTAAATTAAGGCGTTAGGCCTCAATTATAATTTGTATATTTTAATAAGTATGTATCCATTTCCTCTCCATTTTTAATTTTTTCTGAGTCTTAATTGGATTATTTTCATGAACGGGTCTACAGGGAATGAATCTTTGTTTTCAGAATAAATTTCCAAATTTTGATGTTAAATTACTGAAAAATTAGAACAAAAGTATAGCATTTGAAAGGGCTGTTGCTCGATGTATGGTATGAATCAATGAAACATATGCTCTTGACTTCTTTCTTTGGTTCTTCAACCTTCAAAATATTATTTGTATTTTACTCAAAAGGAAAGTGTTTACCATCCTTGGATCTAGTTTTCTGGAACTTAGTCAAAGAAAACTGAGAAAATGATGTACTGATAAGGAGACTTTTGATGTGTATCAAAATAAGTACACCTAAAGCTCAGTTTTAACCAGAAAGTTTCGCCATTGACTTTTTCCCTCTGAAAATGGTTACCATCACTGGTTTCTGTGTGTCCGTTTCAGATTGCAGGCCATAAAAGAAGTTTACTATTCGGCCTACAAAAATTTATATTCCATCAATTATGCCAATCTAAACAGGAAATTATTAAACAAGGCTCAAATTTTATAGAACAGTTTACATACAGGTGTAAGTTGCGGAAAGAATGTCGATTTTGCTATTCGATCATTGTCTGCAACGTTGAGGAACCAAGAATGGCTTGAGCCTGTTGTGAAAAAAACTCAATCTCCCTACAGCTGAGTTTTGAATTTTTTTCTCGACATTTAGTTAGTTGAATTTACCAGTTAGTTTTCGTAACTTGCGGTCGACCGCAGCTCGTAAAATCTGAGCTCAGGCTGTCAAGGAAAGAGCCAATTTGCATTCCCCTCTTTCCAAAAATAAAAAGTGATTAAAAGTGAAAATCTATTTCAATTGAAATTATCCAGGAACTAACAATATTTGTGTAAATATGTACTTATTGTGAGCCCTGTGAAAGTGTGTTGCTCTCTTTTTTTCCATCTTTTATGAGCTCACAATTAAATCGCCACCTCCAAAAATGTGTAGAAATTTCCTGTAAACTTTGCTGTTTTATGAACAAAGACTGCCATTTTTAATTCTTTCATCGTTCTATGTATTTCTCACAGGCTTTAGGTGAAGTGCATCAGCAACTAATTGAATCGAATCCTGTCAGCAAAAAGGGCTCTGTTCTATCTGGTGTTAAGGGAGATTAACAATTGCTACTTCTCCGTAGTTTAGACGTCTCTTTAATCTTTCTTTCTACTTTGCTATTGGTAATTGGGTTTCTTTCTTATCTCTAAATCGATTTATAAATGCATTAACGTGCTTGACTGAGGGTCATATTCTCAGTCATCCCTTTGACAATTCTTTTCCACAGGGAGGTCCCTAATAGTTTACATCGGGATTAAAGGAGGTTCAACGAGACGTTTAGTGTGGCATCATAACAAGGAAAATTGTTACCAAACTCCTGTTAAAAGCATCAATTTGACTTCAGAAATAGATTCCTATAAGATAATGCAAATATTTGTCACTGCAAAAAATATAAGATATGAAGGAAAATATATCGCAGATTTTGTAGATTTGTCCCTACCCACCATTAATTTATCAAAATCATACAATTTTTCTCTGTTTGTTTACATATTTTTCAATGGCAAATTACTGTAGTGCCTTGTGAGGATCAATTTTTACAGTAAAATTGTGGGGCTTGGAGGACAAGGCACAGTTTTTGAAAAATTGAGTTACAAATGATTTCTAGTAAAACTAGTCTTGATACAAATTCTGTGATAAATTTGCTCCAAAATTCCAATTTTTAAGCATTGAAAAGTCAGTTTAAACTTTCTTTCCGCCATTAAGATCCATGCAATTTTGAAATTTCAAACACATATTTCTCGAAATAGCCGAAAATTATGCGCCTTATCCTCCAAGCCTTCAATTGATGAGTTCGACTCCATTTCCGTAAGTACTGTCTTTTTTATGAAGCTACGTCAAAGGTCTTCATAAACCTCCCTCCTCCCTTAGTCCCAATGTAAACCATATGGGGTTTACCTAAGGGAAGAAGCTGTTTAAGGAGCAACTGTGAATACAACCATTAATTCAGGAAACCAGGCCTTCATCGAAGGAACTTTGAAGGAACTTCGAAATTACTCTGACAAAATTGGTCTTTCAGAGTGTGCTTTGGCATCACAACTCTTTTTCAGCAAAATGCTCTAATTGAAAATTTCCTGACAAAATAATAATAGACTGAGAGGAAAAATTCTTGTCTCTTCTCTATTGCTTTTTTTTTTGCACGTTTCATTAACCAAAAACTAACTCATTCGCTGCAGATAAGTATGCCTCTTGTATAGTATAGGGAGAAAAATTTGCTGGGAAAAAGTTTATTATTCATTAACCTCAGTTTCTCGAATTACTAACCTTATTTATCCCCAGTTATTGTGTGAATATCTTGCCTGATCCTTTGATGAAGTAAATTTCAATTTTGACTGACCTTCATCAGAATCCAATGAATTTATCTTATCTTATTCCATAATATAAAAGCATAAGAACAACGTATAATATCTGAGGGGCAAAGCCCTCAGAGGGTTAGACCACAAAGGGGTCAGGAGGCGTAGCCCTCCCCCCTCTCCCATTTGACCACAAATTGAAAGCCTATGGAAGGACATTTAGCGTAGACTTGATTATTTGAATTACAAGCCAGTTCTTAACATTTTGTGTTTGCCTCTGATATACCCAAGGCAGAGCGTAGATGAAATGAAATTATGTGATCGGTTGGTCGCAGCACTTTTTATCTTTGCTTTTATGTGACCAGTTATTTCACAGGCTTAAGAAACTCTCTGTCAGTGATCGACAAGTATTAGATTCTCATGATCGATCAGGACATGACGAGGAAAGTGAGCGGGATAACCGAACGATCATCCCAGTCTATTTCATTTTATTCTCTTCTTGTCCTTTCAATAACTGTGAGATCTCTTGATTGAGCCTTTGTGCACAACGGAAACAGGTTTATCAGTGCGGCCATATTTTTCCTTCCTGGCATTTGTATAATCTATTCCCCATATATCTTACATATTTCTTTTTACTCCTGTAATTAACTACCTCTGAACCCTGATTTCCTCATTGCCTGGTCAGAACGCTTCTGCACCCCATCTGATCACAATTCTTTGTTACACACAGCTGGCGATCCCAAAAATTTCTTACCCATCAACATTTCAGCTCTTCCTTGCAATTTCGGTAGATTACCCACAGGAAACGACAGAAATTTTTTTTGGTTTCAGTCTAGGATTACACAATGAAGAACTAGGCACACAATACCAAGAAATTCAGTGCCGACTAAATTTCGATATTATTTGATATAATATCCCTCATGGCTTCAAGCTTTCACAATTGAACTTCCTATGTGCCAATCTCGAGGAAAACAGGGCTGAAATAAAAAACAGTTTTCGGCGTGTTTACACCTAATAGACGGTAGGTGGACGGAGGTTTAAGTAAAGACGTTGCAATGTCTTAGTGGTGATCGTGGAGAGCTTTTGTTTTATTGCAGGTCAGATGGACAAGAATAATTAAATTCGTTCGAATGATAGGCCTCCAGTGAAGCATCCACACACAAACACATAGCATCAGTCCCACATCCCCATTAGAAAATGCTTGTAAGATGGACGAAAGATTAGCATTCCAGCCCCGCCTTTTTCGATGTTGGTACATAGAGAGTTCCATCCTGAAAAGTCATTGCACCTAATCGAGAGATCATAAGGAACATCATATCAAATAGTATTGAAATTGAGCCAGCGCCAAATTTTTCGGCATTCTGTGTTAGGTCCATGGTGGCTTTCCTTTACAAGTCTTTATTAAACTTGGATGTGAATTAAAGCGCCTATTTACATGTTACATGTTTTTTTTTAAATTTTTCACTGAACACAGCTCTAGCGATCAATGAAACAACTTCCAAATAAGATGAGCTTAGTCATCTCAGGGTAATTTCCTACAATAGCTCGTTCTAAACAACTTGACGTAGAATTTTTGACTACCACAAGGCACCGATCTGAGCAAAGACTAATCTGGCTCTCTTTTACTTTCAGAACTTATCAGTGGTTCACAGCAAACTGGTAAATGATGTATAACTCTTCAAATCCATTCAGAATGTGAGACTGATCGACCCTAGCCGCATCACTTTGTTTGAACTCACAATCAGTTCATCTACTGCGAGGTGCAGGAGATTGGCACCCTCATTTTATTGGTTGATTTGTTATAATTTTGTTTTTTTGTTTTTCTGTTTTATGCCAATGTTTGATTTCTTCTCTTCAGTTCTAATTGTGCCTATGTTTTATTCGAATGAAGCAAATTAAACAATCGGAACCATAAGGAATAGTGATATGCTTTTATGCAAAGTGATCAGGAGTGGTCGAAAAAATTTTAAAAAAAATTAACCTCAACATGAATTACTTAATCCATGTCCTATCAAATTTTCATTCCATTTATTTTATTTAATGCTATTCTCCAGAGACTCAAGAAATTAGGAACTTTTTAATCAAGCTCGGCTCTTCTTTACACTGATTTTTAAATAATTTTAAATTTATTTTTACCTTCAATTTGAGCTTTATGAATAATATTTTATGGTAATTATGTCTCTCGAACCACTACGTCTCTTATATCATTTTATTTGAGCATTTTACTGAAAAAAATTGAAGCTTTAATATTTAATCCCTCAACAGATAAAATGGTTTCTCAGGTATTGCATCATTACATCTTTACAAATACAGACTTTGTGAATATTGAAGGTTTTAATTTTTTTAGTTGTTTTTTCAAGGTTTTGTGAGGTGTTCGACTTGAGAGCTATGAATAAATCAGAAACTATACATTTACAGTGGCTAAGTGTACAGAAATTATAAAGCCTGAATGTACGATACTTGAGCTTTAATGGATTTTGAGTTGAAAACACCGAACCAACGCTTGTAGAATTCGCATAGTTTTTATTCTATTCAAGTTGGGACGGATAGCAATAGTCTTCATTTCTCTTTTAGGATGCACTTGATTATACAGGATTATGAGGGTAGGAAGGACCGACCCGAATTTTAGAGAAAATTAAATCTGGAGTAATTCTGAGATCAACTAGTCATATACTCTCCCCTGTTAAAAAGAAAAAACGCCATAGTGTATTTTCCGAAGGAAATACACTATTGTGTACAAAGGAATCACAAATTACCTCTTAAATTGAGTGGTACAAAGGAATTTATCTTCAAAAGTATTTTTCTCTATTTCAAGTTGATATGTTTAGGTTGGTTCCTTTCCCTGATTTCGGCCCAACTATCGATTGGTTCTTAAAAATAGGTTCAAGGAATTTAGCTTCGTCTTCAGCGAGAGTTTTTACTTGTCTGATATTGCCTTAATTTTTCACAATGAAATTTTTCTTTGTGCGCTTTTAGCTCCGTGGAATAATTGAATATTTTCAGTATGTAATCGTCCTTAAAAGAATTCCCAGGTCTCAAAGGCGTGTTTTCCAGAAATGTGCTTCTTGCCAAGTTTGGTCAGACATTCTGTACCTTGTGTTTTTGATAGGAAGTATTTCCTATTAGCAGAAAAACTTATTTTTGAGCTTTATGCTAAGGTGTTGATTCCCCTTATGCTGTATATCAGTAAATTTTTGCTGTTTCAGCTTAATTTTGATGAGGATTCTCTACTCCAGAGGAGACTTTTAGTATTATTGAGTGAAGCTTCATTATGATAGCGGTAATAATTATAGCAAAGAACTCACGCCACCAAGTCTTCGTCTTTTTTTTTTTTTTCCAAGTGTCCATTAATGAACAAGTCCTGCAAGGACAAAGTGTCTTGAGATTGCATACTAGCACCAATTTTTCTTTTTTAGGAAGACAGCGATAATTCTAGTTAATTCATTCATTTAATAACCATCTCAATTATTTCTTCCTGCAATAAGTAACTACTTGTGTTCATTCCTCTCAAAATGCTGTGTAACAACTGGGAGAATACTTTCCGCGATTTTTCCGTTTGTGCCGTAACTTTTTCAAGTCAAAATATTCTAGAAAAGCAAGTGGCTGATGATCAATCACTTGGTTTAATTTTAAGACAACCAGTACCTTTAGATTGTTACAACTTACAATGGTTTTTATTATATTTTTTTACCTTTTACCTTGTACTCATGCTGTTTTTACTAACCCTTTTTTAAGAGTAATAAAAAATAATGCCAAATTATCGGTCTTTCTTGTCAGTTTGAGCTACAAATCGACATACATTTCTGCTGAACGGATGCAGATGCATGCTGCGTGCATTATGATGTGAGCCCTGTTATGCATATATTCTAATGGGTCTCAAGGCTCATGTCTAAATGCACACAGTTCTGTTTAGCAGAAATATGTCCAAATAACTTCGAATGCGATTTAGTCAACTTCCAAAATAAAAGGTGCATGATACCAACAAATCGTTCTCTCCTGCACAAAGGAACATAGCTCGTTCGTGCTGTTTCAGTTTTCTACGAATATTTTATTTTTTCATGGGAGAGCAATTGTGCAAAATCTGAAAATTTTAGTCTTTTTTTACTTGTCTAAAGAAAAACCACTGGAAATTTCAGACGAGTTTATGCAACATTTCTCCTGTAAAAAAGTAAAACGACAGTAAGAATAACTGAAAAGGGCAATTGAGATACATTTCTTCTCGTGGGAGATGACAAAATGCAAATGAGGACAAAATGAAATAGTATTTCTTTTCAACATGAAGAGAAAATACGATGCGCCTGCTCATTAAAAAGTTGGGAAAATTTCACTAAGCACCGAGAGACAAAAACAAAATTGCACAACTTTGACTGTATTGCATGCCAGACATGTCATTATTTTATGAATGAATGCGATCATCATCATGATTACATGGAGATTCTGATTATGCTCTCTGGACACTTAGAGAATCTGTAAGCAAAGTCAGGGAGAAATATAATTCCAATATTTTTTCCTGCCTCCAGCATGAGCTACAATACCATGAAAATTAAACAGGAACACTTTGGGGGCCTTTTGTGTTTGAATGGTTGAATAAGTAGACATTTTAAACAGTAACAATTATAATTTATTCCTTTGAGTTGTTACAACGTATCACAATAGTGTTCAAAAGTAACGAGACAGCCACCTTCAGATTTCTCATTTATCCTTTCAGTAATACCTTGGAATACAAAACTTGAGGAGGGATAGAAAATTAAAACAAAGTAATACTCAGTTTAAACAAAAAAGAGTAATTAAAGGTCAGTGTACGCCATTTCCAGAATTTGAACATTCAATTTGCCTGTAGGTTACTCTTACTTTCTGACTCTTGAAGACTGTTGTCTTAGACAATAAAATGATGAACAGAGAAAATTAATTATTGCTGAGCCAAAGTATAAAGAGAGGAAATCAAATGGAGGCTAATAACATTGATGGCGCGATGTTACTATAATAATACTGAGAAATATTTACAAGCAAATAAATATATTGTTTAACGCATAATAGTAGAAAGCTTTTTTTATCTCATACATGCCATCCAGCAATTCCACTAATCGGACGAAAGTACTTCTTGAGCTCAAATCAATGACTAATGATGCTACTTGAGGTTTATTAATAGCTGAGGGGACAGAAGTTGAACAATGTATTTTCCTGAATACAAATCTTAAGATTTAATCACTCAGGAGGCAGAAAAACCAAAGAGCGGCACAGAGGTAGGAAAACATTAATTTTTGGAAGGACAAGGAACACTGTCCATTTCTGCAACGCAATTTTATGTAAAGGCTTTAAAAAAATTTCCCCATGGTGCCTCTTTTCTTAATCACCTGTTTGTGTTAGCGCCACAGAATATATAGGCTTCACCAACAGAAGGCTCACTCCCAGCGTATCTCGGTCGAAGAAGAAGAACACACCTAGAAAGCATTGTTTACATTTTGCCTTTAGTCCGGAGCTCGGACGACCTTCAACGCTGTCAGTTTGTTTGGCGAAACGCGCTCCTTCCTATCCCCATTTTCTACCTGAACGCATTCACGTGGCAACGTTGCAGAGCCGCTGGAAAGTACAAAACGAGATACATTGGAGTAAACAGGAGTGAACCTTCTGTTGGTGAAGCCTATATATTCTGTGTTAGCGCAATGAAAACCAGCGAAATGAGGTACACAAGAAATGTGGACTTTATCTCACAAAAATTTGCTTGTTACTGGAAGGCTGTCATGGCATGATGATGTATTTCGCAACTTTTGTCCCATCAGTTGAGGCAAACCCTCCAAAGAATAATTTCGCTGCAGCAGCAACCACTAAGCAGCCAAAAATTTAACTCAGGAACTCGATCATCTTCGTGGGTTAAAATTTACAAATTAAGTAAAAATTAAAGGCAAAAATTTACAAAAATGTACAATACATTCGAACTTCAATAATATAGAATTTAAGGTATAACAGGTTGGTTGGTTGTGAATACGGTACAAGTTCACTACAATATCTTGGTGAATCCTGAAGTAAGGATTGAATGAAAAAATACATCGCAGCTTTGCTTTAATATCATTCAAAACCGTTGCTAATTATTGCTTTTGAAGCAATGTAAAAATGGAAAAAACCTTTTGTACCAACACCTCCGCACTTCTTTTCCACCTTGTTCTTTGGATCCAACTTTCAATTCAGTTAAAATACTCTGAGACTAAAACCCTCCTACAATAGATCAGCTCAAGGATAATTACAAAATCAAGCAATGTACAAGGCAGAGAGCAAAAATCATATGCAGCTTCATTTTCCTGGTACACATGTCCAGCTCAGAAACTGCGAAAAGTATAAAAATTGATTATTTTGAGACATTAAAAGTATGACATATCATTGGGGAACAGAAAACAAGATTAGTTACTTCTTAAGAAAGTTTCATGCAACGGATAGTGAGAATCATAAGATTTTAGTGAAAAACTCTTTGGCAAGAAATTGGTGTTCGTGATTTATCTTGGAATTAGTTGCTTGAATGTTTAAGAGGGGACATCAATCATTGTTATTCTGAGTTCAGGGCTGATTTTGAGAGCATCTAAACTTTTTTTATCTGTAATCTTTGTGTATCTGTTTCTTTTTTTCTTAAAGAGTGAAGTCATGAGCGTAAAAATAAAAAAGTAACAGAATAACTTAAATAAACCATAAATCACAAAAATTAATTACAAAAGTGGCTTTGGTACTTAGAAGAAAAAAGTATCCATAAAATTCCCTTCTTTCTTTATCCAAGACAACATTTCTTTTTAACCTTTAAAATACCACTCCATCTTTTCTCATCCTGTTTGGTAACTTTTGATGATCTGTGACTAATTTAACCACCGATGATTTTTCTTTTCTTCTTCTGTTCCAGTGGGCAAAAGAAATAGTAAACAAAATAAAAACCTTAGGGATTCCCTTATTTGAGATTTCTTGATAAATTTTAAAATATTTTTGTATCATATTCACAGAAATAATAGCTGCTGATGGACAATATTGTAGATGTACACAGAAGCATACCTCTCTCCTCATTTAATTGAAAACGATGTTTTTTATCTATTTTTAGCAACTCAAGACTGAAGAGAAATTGTTAAGTTATAAGCCAATGGTTACTAACCAAAAATGTTTTCATAACTTCTATAAATACATCCTCAAGCCTCATTCATGAGTACAAAAAGATGGTGAATACGGGGAGAAAATTGAGTTGGGGGAAAAAATCTGTTAACATACATAAAATTATACCAAATTTTCCTACATATTTCACTGTGATCTGTAACACTGATTTAAACCCAAGGAATGAACGTTTCTCGGTCCAGTCAAAAATTCTCAGTATATAATTTTCGTTTAACTAAAGTTAGAGAGCCGACATATCAAACTGTAAATAGAGTATCAATGAGTAAAGAAAAATACATATAAAAAGCGGTACGATCAATAGCGGTGGCAATATTTTCAGGTAAACAATTGAAAACAAGTACAAAAAACTAACAAAGTGCTTAGGAACTGATATTTTAAAGGTGAAAAAATTGAATAACCATATAGTTGATGCTGTCTACTGTTAGATGACAAGTCTAGGATCAACATACCATTCTCCGACGAATTTGAAGGAATTTAGATTGGCATTTCAAAGTTGACATCCAAGTGGGCGGACCGCGCAAGACCAACAATGCTTGACAGCTTGACTGCCAGGCGGGCTGCTTCATCTAGATTGTCCACGGGCAGAATCTTCATTCCAGAGGAGGCGATCAATACCTTAGCATCATCAACATTTGTTCCCTGAAAGCAAAAACAGAGAAAAGAATGAAAAATAAGGCTGAAAATACTGAGTTCAAATTGTTATCCAAGAGGGTCTCCTATTTTCCGTTAGACTTCTCCCACAAAGACCATATGAACCGAAAAACTGCAAAAATGCTTACAGCAGTTGCGGTGCATTAAAATCTCCCCTATTTTATATTTTAAAGGGAGAGCAAACCAACATCATGGCTTGAATTTTTCACAGAATATTTTTCTTAAAAAGGAGAAAAATCACTGCAATTTTTAAAAAATGACGTTCAGTAGTTTTTCATGTAGAAAATAAAGTATTATAGGAAGTCTGCAATGCCGTAAATCGAGATACGCATTTCTACAATTTCACCATCGATATGTAGTTTGTAATGAACTTATCACTATAAGACTATGCACAAAAAAAAATGGATTGGTGATTGAACAATTCAATTGTTAAAAAAAGTGACTGCAATGTTTCAAATGTACATTTTACAATAGTGGAAAGCTAATTAACCGCGGGGGGTAGTTAAAGTAGCCTTTTGTTATTGTTAGAGTGGCATTTTTTTGTTGTAAAATCTGCATTGAAACATTGTAGTCACTATTTTTAACTACAAAATTGTTAGAACAGTAATTTACTTTTTTCCGTGTGTGAATAAATAAGCTAATGATAAAATTAAGATTCAACTTCACGGTTCAAATGGAACATAATGAGGAGTAAAAACGAGATAAGAAGCTACATGGGATATTGACAGTGGTTAAAATTTACATACGGTAAAAGAAACATATAAATCTCAAAGGCTTTGATCACCAGACATCAAATCATGGTAGTGCATAAACAACATGAAGTACAAACCTGTAATCTACAAATGATTGGCAGTTTCATGTCTAATTCCTTGACGGCTGCAATAATACCTTCCGCAATGACATCACACCTCATGATACCTCCAAATATGTTGACCATGATTGCACAAACCTAGAATCACAAAATCAGTTTTATGAATGAATGGCTAATCTCAGAAAAGGTGTCAGCATGATGGTACATATCTTCGTGGTTTCTACGCCCTTCTTACAAGCCTTCCTCATAAATATACAATCAGGCTGAGTTAGATATTTTTAGAGGAAAAAAGCATGATTTCTTTGTATCGCTTTAAAATCTGTTTGTTCTTCCTACTTTAAAAAAAGGCAGCCCAATTTTCTATGACCAGTTTTTAATTAAAGTTCAAAATGATACTTATAGGTACTATACTTTTTGTAGATTTGATCCATGAAAAGGTAATACGAACAAACTGGAGATACAGGAGAGAAATAAAATACTATGGATACCTCCCCCAAAAAAAGGAGGAAATTCGAGGCGTTAGTGAGGTACATATATGTAAAAGGAAAAATTCCGTTTAGTCGAATTTAAAAGGAAGCTAAATTAAAATAAAATGTATGAATAGATAATTCATACTTTTTCTTGCACAAATTAATTAACATTCGAAGTCCTTCAATGATAGGAATAAAATACATACATACGAGTCGCTGTTATAGCGCTCTTTGGCGCTTTGCGACACCTAATCGCCACAAAGCTCGGTCTTCCCACAGGTTATCAGGGAGTTGACACTCCCTCATCTCACTTAACACCCCCTGTCGCCAACCTCTCACTGGGCGTCCCCTACGCCTCCTCCCAGGAGGAACCCAATCAAGCATCTTTTTTGGCAGCCTCTCTTCCGTCATCCTATTGACATGACCATACCAAACAAGTTGTTTGGTCATGACGTCGAACACGATGTCATTTTCGACTTCCATTATCTGACGCACTCTATCATTACGGACCCAATCTCTCCTAGAAATTCCTGCCGACCTTCTCCAGAAATCCATCTCCGTTGCTCTTAGCATATCCTGTGTCCGTTTCTTCAGCTGCCAAACTTCACATCCTTATGTTAATATACTTTTTACTACAGCGTTGTATATCCTCCTCTTGTTATCTTTGGAAATCCGCTGATCCCAGAGGATTCCATTTAACATCGCTATAGCCTTCCTTGCTAAGGTGTTCCTTTCCCTGATAGCTTGATCCGTCCTTCCATCCTGGGTCAACCGCACTCCCAAGTACTTGAAGTGCTCGCAGCATTTGATCTGCTGCCCATCCTCCAACTCAATGCTTTGCTGATCACCACCAAAAGTCATCTTCTCAGATTTGTATATGCTGACTTCCAAACCCCACTTCCGATATTCTTCTACTAACTTGCGCATCATGTACTCCGCGTCTTCTTGATCTTGAGCAACCACCACCTGGTCATCAGCAAAGCACAGAGTGAACAGAGTTTCAAGATCACCCAAGGGGACACCCA